AGCGTTGTGCTCTGCCTGTCTCTTTGTCTGTCTCTCGCTGCCTCTTGGATGTTCTGTCTGTCTCTCTGTCTCTGGCTCTGTGTGTGTGTGTGTGTGTGTGTCTGTGTGTGTGTGTGTGTGTGTGTGTGTGTTTCTCTCGCTCTTTTGTGTGTGTGAGTTTGTGTTTTGTTTGCTCTTCTTGTCTGTCTGCCTGTCTGTCTCTCGCTCCCTCTTCTTGTATGTCTGTCTATCTGTCTGTATGTCTGTCTTTTTAGTCTCTCATTTCCTCGTTTTGTCCGATGATTTCTTATCTTTTATTATGTACGTGTTTATTTCTCTATTTATATGTCAACTTATCATTTTTCCTCCTTTTTTTATTCTCTGTCTCTCCTTCATATCTCTGTCTCTCCCTCTCCCTCTTATCTCTCCCTCTTATCTCTCCCTCGCACTCCTAAAAGCACAGAAAACAAGAAAATATAAAATCCTGGTATTATTTTGGCTAATGTTCATAATCAAGTTCTTGTGAAGGTATTACTGTGAGGTGGAGGTGGTTCGCTGCCCGCTATTGTACCTCTTGACCAGATTAATGTGTGCTGTGCCTTCCTCTTCTCTATTCTATGTGTTTTTGTTGTCTTTGTTCGTTTTCTTTTTGTTGTTGCTGTTGTCCTTGTTCTTATTTTTCTTGTTGTCTTCTTTGTTCGTTTTCTTCTTGTTTTTATTGTTGCTGTTGTTCTTGTTATTATCCTTGTTCTTGTTGTTATTGTTGTTGTCCTTGTTCTTATTCTCCTTCCTTGTTCTTCCTTGTTGTTCTTCTTCTTCCGTCTTTTACCTTCTTCTTTAGCAGGAGGAGAACAGAACAAGTAGAAGAAATAAAACACAAACAATTCAATTTAGTCTAAGCAAACAAACAAAAAATATAGATACAGAAACAACTCAACCAAACCACACAAGGACACATTAACAAGAACCCAATTTAGTTTACACAGATACAAACAGAAATGTAACTAGTTCACACACACACACACACACACACACACACACACATACATACACACACACACATACACATATACGAGAGTGCAATGTTTGTGTTACCAAGCCTAAGTGATTTACCTCACGCACAAACAAACAAAAATTCAGTCAAAAGAAAAAAAAAATGTATTTCAGAAGAATTTATTTGTTTTGGTTATACCAGAGAGAGAAGACAACCAGACAGACAGACAGACAGACAGACAGACAACCAGACAGACAGACAGACAGACAGACAGACAGACAGGCAGACAGACAGATTGATAGATAAATAGATATAAATCACAAATTGGACAAAACTTCCACAAGTAAACAAATTACACAGGTACACAAATACACAACGACATTCATCAGCCGGACACTGTACCCTGGGGGGTGGGGAGAAATGCGAGCCGGAGGACGCTGGGTTGGCATTCGAGCGCTCACAACCACTGCGCCACCGTTCCTTTGTACCATCCGTCGGAGCGTTCCTCTTATTTTGTTTGGTTTCAGCGCGGATGAGCGGCGAAAGGCAACGTCGATAAAAAAAAAACAGAAATACGCAACACAGTGTATTCCGTCAAGAGCAATTACCAGGGAAGGGGTGAGTGGGAGGGAGAAGAGAGTGAGAAAGCTAGAAAGTGGGGAGGGAGAGTGAGAGAATTAGGGAGTGGGGAGGAGAGTGAAAGAGGTGTGGAAGTGGAGAATGAGGAAGGAGAATGAGAGAGGTAGGGAGAGAGAGTAAGAGAGTGAGAGAGGTAAGGAAAGGGGGAAGGAGAGTGAAAGAGGTAGGGAGAGGGGGAGAAGAGGTGAGAAGTAGGGAGTAGGGAGAGGGGGATGTCAGCGAGATAGATAGTGAGAGGGAGGAGAGGTGAAAAGTGGGGAGAATTGAGAGGGGAGAGGGGAGGGGGTTTAATTGGTTCTCTGAATATTGGAATTAAGGCGAACTGGAAAGACAAAATGACAGTAGAGGTATAAATATTTTGAACGGGTATTGACAGATTTTGAAGAGGAGTTGGTAGAATTCCACAGATTTATTAAGCTAAAATTGTATTGAAAGAGACAGATTTTGAAGAGAAATTCAACGAGACTTAACAGATATTTTAAATGAAATTGAACAGAACGTGATAAATTTAAAAAGATATTGCACTACATTCAATATATTTTTTAATAGAAATCAGACATAATTGACAGAATTGGATATATACATTACTGGACAAGAATAGACCGATTTTAAACAAAAAGCGAGCTAGCATATGTGATCGGAATTAAACAGTATCTGTACAATAAATCAAATAAAGTGATTGGAATTAAATTAACCAGAATTTAACAGGTATTTTTATAGTGCTGACAGAATTCAACAGAAAGTGAACAGAATCCATCAGACAATAGATACGCCCCTAAAAAAAAATCCCAAAGAGAGTTAACTATAAAATAACAGACAGTAACAGTGTGCGCGAACCATTGCCTTGATAGTGGCGATGTTCCTGTAAATTTAAAATAGTGACTGCTGGATTCTCGTCTCCTCTTGTCGTTTTCTGTAATTTCATGCTAACATTTCAAGTTAATTTTGAAGTTATTTGCTCTAAAAGTTTATCAAAAACCTTCCAACTTTGGTGTAAATCCACTAACCAATTCCTGAGTTATTTTAGAGACACACAGACGAACAGACGGGATTAAAAATGAACAGAAATCAACGGAAAGTCTCGCGGAATTTAACAGAAAGTAAACAGAGGCGAATGCTAATTGAAAATATCACTGACACATTTTGGTTATTATTATTATTGATAAGTCTCTCATTGTCTCTCCTGTTGGTTCAGTTTCGAGAGTCTCAGTATCTCTTAAGCTGTCTCTCTCTCCTTCTCTAATACGACTATTCTGTCACTTTGAGTCTTCCCTCTCTCTGTCTCTCAGTCTCTGAATGTCTCCATCTCTCTCCCTTAATCAAACTCTTATAATCTCTCTCTCTCTCTCTCTGTCTCTAATCGGGTTTCTCTTCCTCTATCTCTAACACACTGTCTCAGACTATGGCGATCGCTAAGAGAAGTCTCAGTCTATCTCTCTTTCTCTCTATATCTCTCTCTCAGATATCACTATCGCTAAACAGACTTTTCGTTTTATTTCTCCTTTATATCTCTCGCCCAAATAAAGTGTCTCTCAGTCCGCCTCCACGAGACTACTGCCTCCTTTAACCTCTTTAAGTGTCTGAATGTCTCTCTCTCTCTCTCTCTCTCTCTCTCTCTCTCTGTCACACACATACATACACACACACACACACACACACTATGCGATTACACTCATAAAAAAATCAGTGACAACAGGTTTTAGTGATATTCTAATTAGACAGGTGATACAACTGCAGGGAAGGCTCAGGTGTAGGCGATGCCGTTGTCAAACAGAACAACGGCGGTAGCTGGTGTTGGAGGTGAACACTGATGACGTCATAACGTACAATGTTTACTTCTGAGGATGACGTCATAAGGTACAATGTTTTCTTCTGAGGATGACGTCATAATGTTCAACAGTTATTTTTTATGCGGATTATTTTGTTTTGTTTAGATCAGTTGTTTTAAGACCAGATTTATTAGCACCAGCTGTTGGTAGAATTTCCCCAGAGCTTCGTCAGCTTATTAGTAAGTTTACAGCAAACTCACCATAAAACAAATTTGTTCAGAATTGTTTTACGAGTGAAATATATCACAGGCGACGACATGAAACGAGCATGATGTATCAAATATATTTCTGTATACGTTCAGTGTTTATGAGTCTGCTTACCATCTAAATATATACAGTATTTATAACACCAGAGTACCTAACTTACTGTATAACGTTCAATGATTCGTTCCTGTTTAAATTTTATACATAATTCTGTGATTATTATTTATATTTTGTTGCCAGAGTTTAACGCCCAGTGGTTAGATCCTGTCAAAAATTTTACATATTTCTGTGATGTTATTTTTCCTGTCACCAGAGCTCCAGAAGGCAATGTTATATATAAATTATCTCGTTGACTCACCAGCTGGTCGGCGGTAATGTATCTCGCCTGTACAACTATCCTCAACAACTTTGTTATATTATAAGTTTGTTGTAAACTTGATAATAAGCTCACAGAGTTCTTAGGGAATTTTGGACTTAGAAGACCAGCTGTTTTGAGGTCATGTGATATAAGACCAGCTGTTTTGAGGCCATAAAATGCGAGTATAAGACCGGCTGTTATGGGGCCATATAAGTCCAGTTGTTTTAAGACCAGTGTTTAGACCAGCTGTTTTAAGACTAGTGTTTAGACCAGCTGTTTTAAGACCAGTGTTTAGACCAGCTGTTTTAAGACCAGTGTTTAGACCAGCTGTTTTAAGACCAGTGTTTAGACCAGCTGCTTTAAGACTAGTGTTTAGACCAGCTGCTTTAAGACTAGTGTTTAGACCAGCTGTTTGAAGACTAGTGTTTAAACCCAGTTATATTAAGACCAGTGTTTAAAACCAGCTGTTTTAATGTCAGTGTTTAAGACCAGCTGCTTCAGGGCCATATGACATAAAACCATCTGTTTTGTGGTCAGCGTTTAAGACCATTTGCTTTAGGACCAGCTGTTTTAAGACCAAATGTTGTAAGGGCTTGTAAGTAAGACCAGCTCCTTTAAAGATCTCGTAAGTAAGACCAGCTCCTTTTATAAAACCAGCTGTATTAAAAGATTTTGCGAGATTAGCTATTTTAAAGAATTTATAAGACCAGCTGTTTTAAGACCTCATAAGACCAGGTGCTTTAAAGACCTCGTAAATAAGACCATCTCCTTTTATAAGACCAGCTAAGGTGTTTTAATTTGTCTTAAGACCACCAATAATGCCATGGTTTATAAAGAAGAAATTAGATAAATAAAAGCAGAGGAAAAATACCGACTTCTCGACATTACCGATGACCGCGGCGCCGCCCTGCTCTACTTCATCACGGTCACCTTATCTCGGACCATCAGTGATCTTCCCATCTCAAAGAAATCGGAGGCGGATGGATGGTATACTTACCTAATATCATGATGTCCCCCCCGTCAAGTAGGTGGTAGGAGGCCCCTCTTGCCCTACCCTGTCGATTCGAGTTTCTTTCTCTCTTTCTTTTTCCCTACGTCTTCGTCCTCTGAGTTAAGGGTGTCAGGATGTTCACGGTCGTAAATAGATCTATGAGAGAAAGTTTTGCGTTTGTTTCTTAAAATGTTGTTCGCGGCAATATTTGGGTGGGTGAGTTTCAAGCTGCATTCAGTGTACTAGAATAACCGTCACTTTTCATTAAGGTATCATTATTATTATTATTATTCAGATCGTACACAAAACTGAGATACATCAGGGTTGTAGAAGTTAAGTGAGAACAGGAAATGGACACCATTACTCAATAAACGGCGTAACACGACACCGTAATAACTACATCTACTACAAAGTCCGTCGAGGGTCGGGAAGAAAACTCCCCAGAAGTTGCGGACGCCGCCTCACGGAGGCTCGGGAGCAACACGTCTACCCTCCACGACTGCCAGGCACAGACTGGCCCGCCCTGGCTAAACTCCCCGCCGAGCACAACTCCATCTCGACCCCCGAAAGAAAAAAAAAATATACATATAAAAGCCTAGCTGGAAACTCAGGTGATATATATGTGTTTTTATAAGCAACAGGTCATGTTAGGTCAGGTCAAATTATGCTGCAGAGAGCGAGACGAGGAGAGGAGCTCTGATGATAGCGCTGTGGCCTCTCTCTCAATCTATCTTGGTTTCGCTCTTATTATATATTTATCTCTCTATCTTCCTACGTATATATTATCAACAATTATTCACATATTTATATAAGTCTGATGAGTCTCTCTTTCTCTTTTCTCCTCCTTTTCAATTCATTTATTTCTTCTCTGTCGGTCTCAACACTAACTTTAAGACAAGTGTGAGAGGGATAAGAATATTGGCTCGATCTCTCTCTGTTATTAGTAAGAACTCGTTCAATAGCTTACCTACGCCAGGTAAGCTTAATAAAGAGGTCTGCTGTGCCCCGCTGGTCAACACATAACAACCCTTCAATTGTACGGTGTAAACTTGTTCGAGATCCGGGTAAGAAGTGGAGTGGGAGGTGGCTGGTGTGGTGGTGATGTGGAAGACAGTACAGCCAAGTTTAGTCTGTCTGTGGTGGAGTCTTTTGTACCATAAGCTGTCTGATGACTGTATTCTGTGTGGTGACAGGTGGGAGATGTGGAATGTAATTTCCTTGAAGATCGGGGATGTGGCAGCCGAGTGGGGACAACACCCCCCAGTCCACCCAAATTGTGAATGGGTACCTAACTCCTCACCTTGAAGTGAATGTGGCCGAATACAATGTGTACCAGTCTGCCTCCTTGAGTAAAGAAGATTTAGTATTCAGAGAGGTGTGACCGCACTACCCCTAACGGGAGGCCTTCCGGCTTATGGGGCTCATTTTCAACCCTGAACATGACAATAAGACTTCCAACATCTTGTTGGTGTTGTTGGAGCCGCTGATATGTCAGGTCCTGCCACTTCGTGTCTAGGTTTCAGATGTGTGTGTGTGTGTGTGTGTGTGTGTGTGTGTGTGTGTGTGTGTGTGTGTGATAGTAAATAATAATAATAATAATAATTAACTGTTTACTGAAAAAGCATGGCAGGCGGAAGGCTGAAAATATACAGTTACATAATTGGGGAATGGGTCTCTTGATTTACAAATAATATACAAGTAACTTAAGTGATACAAATATGATATATAATAACTAGGTGGGGAGAAGGTCAAACTACGGGGCATTTCAACATAGTGACAGTGCAAAAAAGTAAGATTGACTGGGAGTGAACACACTGGTTGATTACAAGTTATTGATAGCTTTTACATTGGTTGGGACTGGGCTGTTCTTATAGCGATCAGTACGTGCTTGTATGGGCTGAATGCGGTTGTGGTGTCGAACAGCAATACTCGGACGAGGGATCTCGGATGATGGTAGGAGCCGGTTGCAAGGATGGTGCAGAAGCTTCTCACAAAATTTGCAGATGAGGTTCATGGTGAGATGTGTGTGTGTGTGTGTGTGTGTGTGTGTGTCCAAGAGAGAGCTGAAGTTAAGATGAAGGAGAAGTCATCCGGGAATTCGGTACATGTCAGCGACCCTGCAAGTGTTCACACAGTAAACGGAAGACTTTATAAACCTACAGCTCCTCAAGATTCGCCAGTACTCCTTCATGTCAAACACCGTCAGAGACACAGGCGACAGTCGGGGCAGGAACAAAGCTGATTCTTGAGTAATTTTTTTTAAAGCTAAATTGTCGTCTTTTGTGACATTTCTCCAAAATGTTTACAGCGATCAACAGTGGCGAGAACCAGTCTGTAGTTGCTGATTTCTCCTCGACAATTTAATTTGGAGGACTTAAACCACATTTTCCTTCCTCCACACAGCAAACCATCTTCGTTGTGTGATCAAACTTGTCCAGGTGAAGTAACATTAAAGTCGCAGTCTTGGGCTGACCGAACTCTTTACTTGGGTCAAGCGTCGTAGGAAGGTGGTTTACATCTCGTGGTCTTAGTGTTACCTCGGTCAGCCTCCATGTAGTCTCACGCAGCTTGTCTGGGAGGCTACCTCTTTCTGCCTGGATCCTATATCTTTGTCTGTACAGTAAGAATCTTGTAAGTCAGTCTTTTTCTGGGCTGGAGTCTGCAACAGTCTCATCATGCAGGTTTAGTGTTGGAAATTGCGTCCTTGGCCGTCTTAAACCGGGTTCCGCCAGCTCTTAGAGCCAACTCGTCCTGTGTTTAATTTTCTCCCGGTGTCTGGGTGCTGTGAGAGATGGCCTGACGCTGCACTTCCTCCTGGCCCCCACGGTCTTACCTGTGTTAGCTCTTGTTACTTGTGGACGGATGCCCCATTATGCTTTCAACCAGCCTCAGTGTTTAGTAAATCTCTTTCTCTCTCTCTCTCTCACTCTCTGTAATATCTCTCTCTTTCATTGTCTCTCACTATCTTTGTCAATCTGTCTCTGTCATTCCCTTTGTCTCTCGCTCCTTCACTTACCCACCCTATCTCTTCTCTATCAATATCTGTCTCACTCCCTCTCTTCTCTCTCTCTCTCTCTCTCTCTCTTTTTCTCTCTCTCTGCTCCCCCTCTTACTCACAGGATACAACACAACACAAACATAATTCTTCCGCTCTTTTTAACAAGTCAAATAACATGAAAAAATACACACCACTTTAATTCAACGAGTTAATTTAACACGGTGGCGGTGCTTAACGAGGAGTCAGCTCAGTTTACGGTGAAGTTAACTTGTGCGTTGAGTTTATCACCTTGGAGTTAGTTCACAGTAGTTAGTGATTATACATGTTGAAACAAGCCTACCTGTGTGTGACCCCTACCTGTGTGTGTGTGTGTGTGTGTGTGTGTGTGTCTATTATTTTACTCTTCGATGGACTATTGATACATGAGAGTAGTGTAACTCTGACCTTCGTGACCTTACACACACACACACACACACACACACACACACGCACACACACACACACACACACACTAGTTGAGGTATGTCTTTCCTTGTGTGGTTTGTGAACATCTCTCCCTCCTCCTCCTCTTCAGCTATTATCCTCCCCTTCCTCTGCCTCTTCCTCCTCTTCCTCTGCCTCTTCCTCCTCCTTCTCTGCTCTTCTTCACCTCATCCTGTGTACGTCTTCTACTCTATCTGCTCCTCCTCCTCTGTTCTTCTTCTTCTTCCTCCGTCTCCTATCTCCTCCCCCCTCTATTCCTACTCTTCCTCTTCCTTCCATATTTTTTATTCTTCTTATTCTTCTCCTCCTCCTCAACCTCTGCTTTCCTTCTCCCCTTCCCCCTTTATCTCATCCTCCTCTACTCATCCCTTCCCTGTTCTTGATATGTTTCTTATTTGTACTTCTCCTCCTCCTCCTCCTCCTCCTCCTCCTCCTCCTACCCTCCTCCTCCACCCTTTCTCCTCCTTCTCCTTCACCCTCCCTCTTCTCTCTCTCCATATTCTTCCTCTCTACGTTCTCCTTCCTTCTTCTCCTGTTTCTCTGCTCATCCTTTCCTCCTCCTCTTTCTTCATCTTCTTCCTGTGGTCTTCTCTCCCAGCCAGTTCCTGATACTCACATGATCTAGCAGCCCCTCACAACCCAGCAGCCCCTCACACCTTAGCAGCCCTCACACCCCTAGCAGCCCCTCACTCTAGCAGCCCTCGCTGGTTCCTTAGGGGCAGCCCTCACAACCCAGCAGCCCCTCATACCCCAGCAGCTCACACCCCAGCAGCCCACACCCTAGCAGCTCACACCCCCAGCAGCCCCAAAGCAGCCCTCACACCCAGCAGCCCTCACACCCTAGGAGCCCTCACACCCCAGCAGCCCTCACACCCTAGCAGCCCCTCACACCCCAGCAGCCTCACACCCTAGCAGCCCTCACACCCCTAGCAGCCTCACACCCCAGCAGCCCCTGCCACCCCAGAAGAGCCCTCACACCCTAGCAGCCCTCACACCCTAGCAGCCCCTCACACCCTAGCAGCCCCTCACACCCTAGCAGCCCCTCACACCCTAGCAGCCCCTCACACCCTAGCAGCCCCTCATACCCTGACACATCTCGAGGTGAGGAAATATACGACCCCTACGACCATCACGTGAATGTGATGTCGTAAGCTATTGGTCATGGGGTTGAAATTCTTAAAGATACGTTACTTTAAGTTTCTTTTTCAGTTGTGGATGGGACAGTGTTTCAAATTGTTTCACTTAAGCTGAAACATTAAGAGGAATTCTCAGTGATACGCATGTTAATTTTTTGTTCTCCTAGGGCATAAATTAGTGCATTTAATAGTCTCACATAAGTTAATATGTAAAGATATATAACAAGGTTCGTAAGTTAGGGTTTTTACCTTAACTGTGGACTAGATAGTGTTTCTGTTTGTCTTATATAAGCGACAACACTAAGATGGGTTCCTAATGATTCTAACGTATTAAATATCCCTCTAATGGGCGTTGTGAGAAAGCTTCTAATTGGCTCACTTATGCCACGACACACAGATGGATTCCTAATGGGCTGGACGAGAATTTTTCCTCTGAACTGGAGATGTGAGAACGTATCTAACTGACTCGTGGAAGCTGTGACACTGAGATAGATTCCCAAAGGTACATTCATTAACAGGACAGATTCTCAAATGATCGTAAGTTAAACAAGTAGAAATTAAGTTACTGCGTGGACGAATGAGCGATTTGTTCTCGGTCAGTCATTGAAATTATCCGTCAGAGGTAAAGTTAGTTTGAGAGTTTTTAATAGATCTTGATTTTCTTCTCATTTTAGTGGAATTTATTATATTTATTTTGAGAATATTATAGTACGTGGATTTAGTTAGTCACAGCGGTGTATTATAAGGAAATCATTTCTTCTTTGTGAGTGAGTGAGTGAAGTGGTCAATGAGTGAGTGAATCAGAAAGTGAATTGGTCAGTGAGTGAACCAGTGAATGAATGGTCAATAATTGAATGAGTGAATCGGTAAATGAATGAGTGA